ATCCTCTTTCGTTATTCACATGGATACAGAGCTACCAGTTTGGTTCGCAGAGTCTATATGAGTCTGTGTTGTCGATGTCAAAAAAAAAAAAAAAACATATACACGTATGTATTTTTACATTTTAAAATTTTAAATGAAAATTTTGCTGAAATAATAACATATATAAAAACTGACAATAATTATATAGTTCAACAAAATGGTAAGAAAGAATTGAAAACTGAATAAAAGTACGGAAATATAACCAAAACAAAAATACTTATTATAATTTCTAATTGTGATGATTTTCGTTTAATTTATAGTTTTAACTATATTTATCAAAAAATGATATTTATTACTTATTTGTAATAATTTGTATTTTTATATTTAATTTCTATTAAAAGATACGACATTTATTTAACTATAAGAATTTATTAAATTAGTTTGATTAGCATTTGTTCTGCTTGGTCTGTATGATATGTATTAGTTCTCTTTGATCTGTATTTCTGTTTGAACTACATTTTTTTATCTGCATCATCCATTTGAAGCCCTAACATACGTAAAAAGAATGCAAGAAAAGTTAACTTAAAAAAAAAATAGATTATTACATAAATGACAGTTTCTGATGGGGTCAAGGAGTTGGTTGTCAAAATTGCCCTTGTAGGAAATAGTTGGTGGTGTTTCGTTGTGGGGAACAGCCTAGCTAGTTTATAGGAAAAAGGGTTTTATTTTTCACCATTAGATTTAAAAAGGTTACTATTAAATTGAATGGATGCGATTGAATCTTGGACAGTAAGTCAGTTTGACAAAGACGTTACTTCGGTGTGTGGGTGCGATTATGAATGGTTGAGTTGTGGTCGGCTGAGTTGTGTCCGAGTGATTTGTGTTCGGTGATGTGTTTGGACATGGATTCATGTTAACAAGATGACTCATGTTAACATAAAAAATACATGGAGTTGTGTACATGTAATCATGTGGACAAGGACTCATGTGGATAAAGAAGGAATACATAAACATACACTGATGTTAACAAAAGAATAAAAACGTATATAAAGGATTCACGTTGACAATGGACTCATATTACCAAAACCTCAACAAAACACTGACCACAAGTTATGGACTAGATCACCAGCAACTCGATGGCTTGCTGGAAATATAAAAATAATATCAGGAGAATAAACAGTGATTATGATTTGTAATTTAGGTGCACAATTGGTAAACTGGATTAATCAAATTATATAAATTTAGATACATTGTTAGGTTGCGATGATGTAATATAAAGCTGGCAGTTACTATACCTCCAGAGACAAAAGCTCCAAAACTGGAGAATACTAAGAACATAAACATAGATGGAGGCCAAAATAAACAAGAGACCACAACAAACACCAAAACACTCCAAACGCCAATACGCCCCAACACAAGAGGAACAAAGCTGAACCAAGGAATAGCAGAGGAAAAACGGAACATACCAGCACACACCCACAAGCTAAAGGACCACAAAGACCAGCCGATGCAAAGTAATAAAAACGGTGGAGAGTCTAGCAGCAGCTAACACCACCACAACAACTCTAGAAACTGAAAAAACAGAGACAGCTGAAGACCAATAAGGACAACAGTGATGTTCATCTGGCAGTCGCAGCTACCTTGCTGCGACTGCATCGTTCGTTTCATTGATGCAGGTACCTGCGTCTAATCACCGCGTCCTGTATTTGATGCCATCAAATCCTGCGGTCGCGACGTAAATCATGCGCTAGAAAGGCAATTTACATTTTTTCCTTTAACATCTTTCAGTATTTACAAGAAAACCTAACCTAATAGACGCAGCCGCATCTCTCTTTCCCCCCCCCCATTGACTCAGCCGCGTCTCTCTTCTCCCAATTCAAAGCAGACCACCACGAGCTCTCTCATCCGATTCACAGACCACCACAAACTCTCTCTCCTCCGGTTGAGAGACCAACACCACGAGCTCTCTCTCTCTCTCTCTCTTCTCCGACGAAAACCCATCTCTGAGCTCTCTCTCTTTATCTCTTCTCCAACGCATCTCTCTCTCTCCCTCCCTCTCTCTCTCTCTCTCTCTCTCTCTCTCTCTCTCTCTCTTTCTCTCTCTCTCTCTCTCTCTCTCTCTCTTCTACGCAAACCCCATCTTCGAGCTCTTTCTCTCTTTGATGTAACCGTCTCTGGATAACTTACCAGATATTGATTTGAGCCTTACTTGGGTTTTTGACTAATTGGTTGATGAACAATGAGTACTACTTGTTCCAATGAAGATTAGATCTTTAGTTTTGTGTTTTTAGCTAGTTCACCCAAAATGAAACTTACTTCGTGCCTGGTCAAGTGATAGCATTATGGGTTTCTTTGTTGATGCTTAGGTTTGTGTAAAGCCGTTGATCCTCTCAAGTAACTCTCTCGAGACCCTCTCAAGCCACTCTCTCAAGACCCTGTCAAGCTCACTATATTGACTCTCAAGTTCATTCTCTTTAGGTATGATGTTTGATGGGTTTCTTTAACGTATTCATCACTCTCTTTAGTAAGTTTGATGTCACCAATCCTCCAAGTATATTGACTGTTGTGGTGTCAATATAATGGAATTGTTCTTACAATTAAAATGTGGCTGTTGTGGTTTCTTGATGTTTAGTTGTTTTAAAATATTTTGATTGAGCTGATAGTGTTATGTTCTTGTGTGTTGTATGAACATTTCGATGAGAATTTTTGTTTGCAAGGTATTAGAGAGTCTTTGATTGATTAGTTCTGTTATGTTAATACACTAGTTGAGAATCTTCACTCTCTTTCCAAGTGGGTTTAAGTCACAGGATGTGTACTGTCGTTTGCCAGATATTTGTACAATTGCAAAGTGATGATGATGGAGAAGAAGCTGATAGTGATGGTGATGAAGAAGAAGGAGAAGAAGGTGATGATGCTGATTGTGTTGATGGACATATTGTATATCACCGACCGGTGATAAAGCGATGGAAGTTCTGCGTGAGAACATCACAAAATAATATGGTAGATGTCGTTTACCATATTAAATATTTTAGTTAATGATTTGGTTTTCTTTGCTTATAACTTTGACTATCATTTCTATTTGATATTGAAATATCTGTTTTATTTATTTAAGACTTATGTATTATTTAGCTTTTGTTTTGTGATAAATATTTTGATATATTATTTTTGTTTTAACTTAGCCTATAGTTTATGATAAAAATGTCGTTAATAGTTGTATATTTGACTAAAAATTTATTACGAGTTAAATATAATATTTTTGATGGATGTAAGTGTATTTGAACTACATTTTATTTTTAAATACAATTTTCCAAATTTATAAAATTAAAATGTGAACTAAATGAAATAGCTGCAGCGTCTGATAAACGAACAACACTAAATCTATTTTCTGCGTCAGCGTTCTGGGGTAACGTCCAGCGTCAATGTCCAGCATCTTCGAAACAAACAACAAGCTGCGGCTACATTTGAAGCTATGTCTGGAAAACAAATCACAACTAAAACATGATGGAGCCGCAGACGCAGACGCAGCCGCAAAAAACTGCGGCTGCCAAACGAACATGCCTAATGAATAACAGCCGGAAACCTGGTAAAGAGGACCTCCAATCTTATACACGGATACAGCGATCCAGCCAAAGCCACCTACAGACTCAGGAGAAAACACCTTCTCGCAAGAGAAGACAAGAAAGCTAAGATATGTGATATCATGAAGTCTCCTAATACCACTAGGACAAAAGAGCCAAGATAGTAGATGCCTTCACAGCAATCTTTGATCCGAGAGCTAAGCTTCCAAACCAACTAGCTGAACTGAGAACCCAGAACAAGAGCAAACGAGATAGAGAAGCCAATACAAAAACCAATACAAGGTCTAACCAGAGACAAAACTCAAGCACCACAAAAGCTGGCGACCAAAGATCCCAAAGCTACAAGACCACTACGGACATTACCAACAGCAGAAGACCACCTCCATTAGTTAAGTTCCGCAAAATACCACAAGGAAAGACACCACCTTATCTACTGACCCACTACTGAAACACGAGAAGAGAGGAGATGAACATCATCCTCACGAACGCCATCGGCCAATAGGAGAAGTAGAAAAGGGGGAAATCAGATTCAGTTCTAGAGGAGAAACCAAAGCCTCTCCACCTCTAAGCTACTACAGAGACTAATCTACGACAACATGAGTCCGTTCCAACGACAGTGAGTCACACGAGATCGGAGCACAAGGGAATGGCGGCTAAGGTTAGGATACAGAGAGTTGAGAGAATACCCCGTAACTTTATCTACTATAAAATACAGAGACAATAATTGAATGAAATTTATTTAGATTGTTTAAAATTTTAGTCAAGGGTATAAAAGTGATCTCATTAATAGAAAGTAACTCTCAAGTGGAAAATGCTCTATTGTATAATTGATAAATCATAAGTGTCTCTCTGAATGTAAATTTGTCAAAAACAGTCGTGTTAGGAGCTAAATCTATAAGTTAAAGGGGAAATATTCAATTGAGAGTTTTAGGTGATCTGTTTTAAATGACAAATTCACTGTTATTTAAACCTGAATTTTTAAAAATTATTTAAAATTCAGTGTTATTAAATTTGACATTTTATAAAGTATTCTTAGTTAAAAAATTAAAACCCAAATCTCATGATTTTAGATGATATCCTAGAATGGTTTAATAAAAAATCACTCAAATCTCTAAAATTTATTAAAGTCATCTAAAACTTTACTAAAAAGTCAAACCACCTCGAATTTTATATTGAATTATCCCCTAATTGTCGCCACGGACTTACTTCATTGAAAAGTTGTAACGGCTAGCCTCTGACTTCATTTAGAATTGCCGCCCGTCTCTCCAAATCCTTCCTTTCTCTCTCTCTATCCTCCTACTGTTGGAAACTTGGAAACCCTCGTTCGTGAGAGATATTTGTGTGGTTTATTGATAAACCCTCAACTCACTTTCTAATTCGTTTCTTCTTCTGAAATTGACCCTGCGAAGTGAGAGAAAAGAGAAAACAGAAAGGAGAGCGAGAATGAATCCCTCTCTAGAAGTGGACGACTACATCAAAGATCACTCCTTGGGTCTTCCGATCCCAAGGGATTCTCTCCAAAAGAAGCTTCGTACGGCTGAAGAATCACAGCTGCGTTTCCGAGATCAATATCTGGCTCTCCTCTCTAGATTAAAGGAGAAAGACTATGTAATCGACCAAGCTAGGGTTAGTAATTCGTTTCTTTTTTTTCTTCTCAGATTTGAGAGATTACTGATTGAAAATTGAAATCTGATCTTGCTGTTTTAGTCGGAAGCAAGCTTGAATGCCCAGGCGTTGAAGAACTTCGTGGACGAGAAACCAGAAACTGGCTGCGGAGTGTGGAAATCTGTTGAGACAGTGTAAGAAATGGGAGAAAGAGTGCTTGCTTTATCATCAAGATCGTGATGCGTTGATGGAATTCGGGAATGAATCTGATGAGAGAGCCAGAGAAGCAGAAGCTAGGGTTCGTGATTTGGAAGACGAAATTGGAAGAATTTCTGAAGACTTGCAGATTTGTAAGCGAGAAATTGGGATTGACCAAGTAAGAACTTTTCTTCATATAAGTAAATTAGTTTGCTGCAATTACAAATCCTATCGATTAGTTAGGCTGCTCTTCCTTGCATTTTGATTTCTTCATATACATTTCCTGTCTGTTAAGTTTGCACTTTGAAGATATACTTTTGGTTACCCATTGAGTTAGTTCCCTGCATGTAATTGTCTTGATTTTGGTTAGCCTGTCCTTGATTTAATGGTTTCTTAAGTGCTGTTGCCTCAACTAATAATTTGGGGCATTGATATTTCTCATAACCTCCTTATTGCTTTGCTTCGCATAAAGACTTCAAATTGTAGATATGATGCACTTGAAAAAGACACTCTGCCATAGTCCATCTTATGTTTATACATCATTTTTATTGTCACTCCATACTGTTTTTATTGTCACTCCATACATCCTTTTATACAATCATTTCTATACACACATTGACTTAGAAACATTTCCACAATCCTTTGTAATCATCAGAATCGTCTTTGTAATCATTCTTTTGCCAAAAACATTAATAGAACCATATTCATTCTACAAGTTCTAAACGGGATTCAGCCCATGTTATCTTTTCCCCAATCTTAACCTGATCTAAATATTAGGAGGTGAGTTTTATCTCTCACATGTGTCTTGTAAGAAAGGAAAAAACAACAGGTTTGGATTACAATGTCGCTTCTCTGAAGCTACTTACCAACATGTGTATTGTTATCAAAACTTGACTAGAAATCATGTTACCAACTAATTAAACACGTTTTTAAATTATGAAAATAAAATTCCTTAAAATACACGAACTAATTTTCATTTGTTGATAAAATACATGAACTATTTTAAATCCTCATTTAATACACAAACTAATTTATGATTTCAATTAAATACACCAATTTTTGAAATTTACAGTTTACACATCGATTTAGAACTATGTTGATGACATTAGTTTTAATTAAATATGTGGTAAAAATGTGAAAAACACTCTCACCCTCCAAAACTTCTCAAGGTAGTTTCAATTCGAATTTAACACCATAATCTGTTCCAATCTATTTATTCTTTAAATTATTTTTATTTTCTTATTTTTTCCCTTTGGTTTCCCTTTATATCGATTCAAATTGGAGTAGATTTTTATGCCGTGAAAAACGACAAAGAAGATTAGGTTATTTTAAAACGAGTTTCTGAGTTTGGAATTAGTTTATTATTATGTATTTCTTATTCTTATTCTTTGCTTTAATTGTAGTGATAATGATTTAATCAGTTTTAATCTACACTATGATTAATAAGTTTCGTATTATGAATTAGGTTGTACATATATTATTTATACAGTGATCAATAAATTTGAAATTCCATTAAAAATATCTACACTATGAAAGCGTAATAAAGAAGAAAACTAACAATATAATCTAGCTGGATGATTTTAAGGAACTTTTTCTTCACAATTTAATCATATATTTAATTAACCACTAACATTTTCTTCACTTTTGTTAAACATAGGTGACATCGTCTAAATCATGCTAAACATAGTTGGCGTCGGCTAAATCGATTTGTAAAATGTAAATTCAAAAGTTGGTGTATTTAATTGAAAACATAAATTAATCTGTGTATTAAACGAGGATCTAAAATAGTTCATGTATTTTATTAACAAATGAAAATTAATTCGTGTATTTTAAGGAATTTTATTTTCATAATTTAAAAACGTGTTTAATTAAACACTAACGGTGCCGACAGATCCGTTAAATATAGTTAACACCGTTAAAAACAATGTGTAAAATCTTCAAATTTCAAAAAAATTGTATTTAATAGGTAGCAAAAATTAGTTCATGTATTAAACAGGGATCTAAAATAGTTCATGTATTATATTAGCAAATATAAAGCAGTTCGTGTATTTTTAAGAAATTTTCTCTTTTAGATACGTATAATTTATATGGATCTAGATTGGTTTAGGTATTTGGGACACGAAAAAGATTCAAAGTAACTGAAAACTTCAAAAGTACCCGAAACACAAAAATAATATATGAAACTCAAAAAGTACTTTGAGACATATATGTAACCAAAATTTTATCTAAAACCTGACCAAGAAAACCTAAAAAATACCCAAAATATTTTTTCAATAAATTAAAAAAATTTATTCAAAACAAAAATTATAAACAAAAATGCGAACTCAAAACTTCAAAAATATATGTAATACTGAAAACATATATGAAATACTGAAATATACCTAATATATCTAAAATATTTTGGGTACTTAGGATATTCCATTGGGTTTCGAATAGAACTTGGAGTCGAATAGAGATACGCAGATCCAGAAAAAATACTCAATAGCTACTTTGTCTTAGACACAAACCAAACTAAACATGTATTTTCTATTGATTTCGGTTCGATTTTTTGAGTCCTAAATAAAATGTTGAAGCTTAAGAGAGAGTTATATAAGAATGTACATACAAAATCTCTAATAAATTAATTAGTAAATTATATATATATATGTATATTTCTTTTTTCTTTTATATCTTATTTTTTCCATATAATACAACTTTTTAATCTAATAATATACAGTAATCTAAAAAATATATATAATTCAAAAAAAAATTTGAATTTTCAAAACACAGATCAAAATCTAGTTAAATCTTTTTTTATCATCAACATACATAGTCAGTTAAACTTTGTAAACTATCCAGTTATTCCAAGATAAACTCTTTCTACGTCATAATCAGATTACCATGTACTTCATAATCAGATTACCATTTTTAGTGAATGCGAGCCATCATTATATGTCTCCTAAACGACTCAAAAGTATATATATATTTTAAGGAAATCGTTTGAATAACAACATTACTACATTCTAAACGGCGTCGTTAACGCTCAACCCCAAAATAAAGATAGACACCAGTGGCATTTTAAGAGTACCTCGCTCTCTCGCACTCTTATCCAAAACTCTCTCAAGCTGCAATGGCTCTTCTTCGTCTTCCTCCCATTTCCCTCCAATTTCTAGGTCAACATTCTGAACACAAAACCCCTAATCCCGGAGTTTCACTCACCTCTTTCTCTCTCACATGGTCTACTCCTTCACTATCTCGTCTCCATCTAGCAAAACCCAGAAATCTTACCTCTTACTTCTCCGCAACTACCCAAGAGCCAATCCTCGAGTCTTCTTCTTCTGAAGAGATTTCAAAAAACAGACTGATTGCTCAAAACGTTCCTTGGACCTCTACTCCCGAAGACATAAGGTCGCTGTTCGAGAAATTTGGCAATGTCGTCGACGTTGAGGTCTTTCTTTCTCAATTCCTTGTAACCTTGAGTTATTATTCTTTTTATTGAATTGGTTTCCTTTTGACTGTGTAGATGTCTATGCACAAGAAGGAAAGGAATCGAGGTTTGGTTTTCATCGAAATGGGTTCTCCTGAAGAAGCTGCATCAGCTCTTAAAGCTCTCGAATCCTATGTACGTAACAACATATAGCATTCTCCTCGTTAGATTGTGACATGATCTTGATATAGTACAGTAATTTGGCTGTGTTTCTCTAATTTAGTTTTGTTTGTCTGTTTTTATCTTGGTTTTTGTGACAAGCTCTTTCAGGTTGTCGTTCTGTTGTTTATTGGTCCATTTCTCTTTCTTTGGTTTTCCATTATTCATTGAATGATATTTAAGTAAGAACATTGCATTCTCTTCTTCTTTCTATCTCTTTCTCTCTCGTTTGCAGTACTTCGGCAATCTCTGGAATTGGGACAGAATCATTGAGATACTTCTGTAATTTGGTTGTGTTTGCTTAAATTTATCTGGTGTTAGTGACATTAGGCTCTTCAAAAGGTTGTCTTTGTTGTTGTTTCTTGGTCCATTTCTCTTTCTTTGATTTTTCGTTTTCCCTTGAATCTTATGAACATTGCATTATCTTCCTCCTTCTCTAAACTGGGGCAGAACCATTGATATAGTTCTCTTATTTGGTTGTGTTTCTGTACTTTTGCATAAACTATACATTTGGTTATTAGGCTCTTTCATTTTTTGTTGTTTTATAGGAATATGAGGGTCGGCGTTTGAAGGTAGCCTATGCGAAGGCCAAAAAGAAGAAAACTTATGCTCCTCGTGAGAAGCCTACGCCGGTGCCTACGTTCAATTTGTTTGTTGCAAACTTGGCATTTGAAGCGAGGGCCAAGCATCTTAAGGAGTTCTTTGATTCAGACACTGGGAACGTTGTGTCCACTGAAGTTATATTCCATGAAAATCCTAGGAGGTCGAGTGGTTACGGGTTTGTCTCTTTCAAAACCAAGAAAACGGCCGATGCAGCACTCGTTGAGTTCCAAGGAAAGGTAATTCCAATCTACTCTAGAAGGTTATCTTATTATGCTAGGGCTCATAATTTTTGCCAGTCTTGAGTAAATTGAAGCTAAGTTATAGTCTTTCTGATCACATTTGAGCTAGTCTAAATCATAACGCATTTATTTGCTTTTAAACCATTATAAGCTTATTAGTTTGGTGATCCAAATTCCAAGAAAGTGTGTGTGTGTGTGTGTGTGTGTGTGTGTGTGTGTTTGGTGTATTTGTTGGTTTCTTTCTGTTACCAGTTGAGCTTAGGGACAATCATTGGCCCGAAGACCGATATTCTAGTCTTTATACACTTATGCATCACCGAGACAAATATAGAGAATGTGTTCCTCTGAGCCGTTATGTGGGCAGATACTTTATAGAAAACGGCCAATAATCCCAACATTGTAGAACTGAAGAGTTAATGGCTTGTTTCTAATAATAATTATAATATGAGTTGATTGGCTTATTTAGAATGGAATTGAATGTGTGATATATTAACATATGCAGGATTTTATGGGAAGACCAATCCGATTAGCTC